TCAGGGTCGGCGTGCGGCCATGGGACCCCGTCAGGGCGCTTGATCCACCAGGGCACTCTCTAGGGACAACTGCACTTAGGGCCTTCTCATGGAAGGCGATGTACACAGCGGATCCTCTAGGAACAGCCGAGCTCGTGGGCTTTCAGGACGGCAACGATTCAATGGACCCCTTTGCAGAGACGGCACCGCCCTAGGGACCCTCACAGGACGCAGGAAAGGCAATTAATGGCCCTGTTAGGGGCGCCATGAATTTAGGCCCTCACAGGGACAGCGGTGACCCCAGGAGTTTTTCCAGGGACGGGGGCACCTCCAGGTACGTTCCCAAGGACCGTGGTGCTCCCAAAGGTCCTCCCAGAGGCCCTGTCAGCGGCGTGGCGCCTTCAGGGGCCCTTCCAGAGGCGGTGGCTCCCCCCAGTCCTCTTTATGGGGCGCCAATGTTCCCAGGGACCCTGCCAAGGCCTGTGGCTCACAATAGGTCCTCCTAGGGGAGGCGGCGCCCCAAAACAATGGATAGTGGTGTCATACATATTGCATTCTTCCAGTAATCTCTCACTTAACTGTGATTGGTGGACTAAGAGGTAACATCATCAAATTACAGCCAATAGGAAAACAGAGCAGTCAATTAGCACAACACCCCAACTTATGGTTTGCTGTTGGATATTTGTTCTCCTTTTCATTGTTCAGGTTGCGATAATACTGAAAATGCGATGGGCGGTGTATTTATTTAACGTCATATCTCCCAGAATTTAAAATAGTGAAGCGAAAAATTAAATATCCAACAGCAACGCATAAGTTGGGATGTTGTGCTGACTGATTGCTCTGTTCTCCTATTGGCTGTAATTTGATGACGTTATATCTTGCTCCACCAATCACAGTTAAGTAAGGGATTACTGGACGAATGCAAAATGTACTGCAAAACTACGAAGTTTTTGGGGTTGATAAAGGGTATGGAAGGGCCCCCTGGGAGCGCTGTGGCCCCTGGCAGAGACGCTTGCCGCCTGGAAAGACATGACACCCACTGCCACTAGGAGGGCCCACAGCCACTGGCCCCGTGAGGAGGACACATAGGGCCAAGAGCCCCTGGCAGGTCCTGTGGGCAGTGGAGCCCCAAAGAGGGTCCTTGGGGGAGACACCACCTATGGAAGGACCCCTGAAGGCGCCACCGCTGTGGTACGGCCCCTGGGGGCGTCGCCGTCCCTGGGAACACACCAGAAGGCGCCATTGTCCCTGTAAGGGACCCTGGGATCGCCGTTATCCCTGTGAGGGTCACATTTCCATGCCATGCACAGAGGCGTCCTCAGGGCCCTCTCAGGGTCTTCGGTGCGGCCATGGGACCTGTCAGGGGCGCTGGATCCACCAGGGGCACTCTTAGGGACAACTGCAATTCTAGGGGCCTTCTCAGGGAAGGCGATGTACACAGCGGATCCTCTAGGAACAGCCGAGCTTCCGTGGGCTTCTCAGGGACGGCAACGATTCAAGGGACCCTTGCAGAGACGGCAACGCTCCTAGGGACCCTCACAGGGACGGCGGCGCCACCAATGGCCCTGCTAGGGACGCTGGTGACCCTAGGGGCCCTCACAGGGACAGCCATGATCCCCGGGGTTTTTCAATGGACGGGGGCGCCTCCAAGTATGACCATAGGGACCGTGGTGCTCCCAGAGGCCCTGCCAGCGGCGGTGGCGCCTTCAGGGGCCCTTCCAAAGGCGGTGGTTCCCTCCAGGCCTCTTTATGGGGGCGCCACTGCTCCCAGGGACCCTGCCAAGGCCTGTGGCTCACAATATGTTCTCCTAGGGGAGACGGTGCCCGAAAACAATGGATAGTGGTGTCGTACATATTGCATTCTTCCAGTAATCTCTTACTTAACTTTGATTGGTAGATTAAGAGGTAACGTCATCAAATTACAGCCAATAGGAAAACAAAACAATCAGTCAATACAACACCCCAACTTATGTTTTGCTGTTGGATATTTATTCTCCGTTTCATTGTTAAGGTTGCTATAATATTGAAAATGCGATGGGCGGTGTATTTATTTAACCTCATATCTCCCAGAATTTTAAAAATAGTGAAACGAGAATAGATATCCAACAGCAAAGCATAAGTAAGGGTGTTGTGCTGACTGAGTGCTCTGTTCTCCTATTGGCTGTAATTTGATGACGTTACATCTTGCTCCACCAATCACAGTTAAGTAAGGGATTACTGGACGAAAGCAAAATGTACGACAAAACTATGAAGTTCTTGGGGCGATGCTGCTTGTGGAAGGGCCCCTGGGAGCGCCGTGGCCCCTGGCAGAGACGCTGCCGCCCCTGGAAAGACACCCACTGCCACTAGGAGGGCCCACAGCAGCGCTACCGTCCCTAGGAGGACACATAGGGGCGCCGCAGCCCCTGGCAGGGTCCTTGTGGGCATTGGAGCCCCAGAGAGGGTCCTTGGGGGAGACACCACCTATGGAAGGACCCCTGAAGGCGCCACCGCTGTGGTAAGGCCCCTGGGGGCGTCGCCGTCCCTGGGAACACCCCAGAAGGCGCCATTGTCCCTGTAAGGGACCCTGGGATCGCCGTTATCCCTGTGAGGGTCACATTTCCATGCCATGCACGGAGGCGTCCTCAGGGTCCTCTCAGGGTCGGCGGTGCGGCCATGGGACCTGTCAGGGGCGCTGGATCCACCAGGGGCGCTCTTAGGGACAACTGCAATTCTAGGGGCCTTCTCAGGGAAGGCGATGTACACAGCGGATCCTCTAGGAACAGCCGAGCTTCCGTGGGCTTCTCAGGGACGGCAACGATTCAAGGGACCCTTGCAGAGACGGCAACGCTCCTAGGGACCCTCACAGGGACGGCGGCGCCACCAATAGCCCTGCTAGGGGCGCTGGCGACCCTAGGGGCCACTCGTCCGAGGTGCGCCACTGGGGGCGCCGCCATCTTTGGAAGGCACCTGGGATGTTTCCCGCTCCTGGGAGGGCTCCAGGGGGCACCGACACGGCTAGGAGGGCCCATGCGGACACTGCACCTGATAGGGCAAATGGGAGGGCCCCAGTAGGCACTGTCCCTGTAGGACTATTGGGGGCTGTTATTTTTGTGCACTATTTAGAACAACGGGAGATATGACGTTAAATAAATACGCCACCCATCACATTTCCAGTTATCATCGCCTCATGAACAATGTAAAGGAGAACAAATATCCAACAGGAAAACATAAGTTGGGGTGTTGTGCTGACTGACTGTTCTGTTCTCCTATTGGCTGTTATTTGGTGGACTTATATATTAGTCCACCAATCACAGTTAAGTAGGGGATTGCTGGACGTATGTAATATGTACGACACCTCGACCAAACAAGGTATAGGGCTTCTGGGAGGGAGCGCTCCTGGGAAGGCCCCTGGGGGTGCCGTTGCTCCTGGATGGGACCCTGGGGTGCCGCTGTCCTTTGGGAGGGCCGCCGACACTGGGAGGGTCCCTGGTGTCGCCGCCGCCCCTCCAAGTTCTTGTGGTTTGGGGGTGTGTAAAACGACATCTTGTCCGGGTGTGTGTAAACTTCATTTGGTCCGGGGTTGTCTAAACTTCACGTGGTCCGCGAAGTTTTGATCATATAAAATGGAAAATTTTTACCATAGAAAGTGGAAAATTTTGACTATAGAAAACACCCACACTTGTCGGGAAAATAACACCAGGGCTATTTGATGTGAGGATACTTAATAATCAGAACTAATTATTAAAATTTCAACATTTCGACCACAGATCCTTAATCAACGTGTTGAGGACGACCTATACTGGAATTTTGCTCAAAATAGTACCATATATTATGAAGTTTTGATTATTAATTATGGTAATTGATGTGAAGACAATTATCAAAATATTTTTACGGGAAAATGAAACCAAGGTTATTTTTTTTTAATCATTGTTTTCTTGAAGTTCAAATTCCTGAAATGGTTGTTTTTCGACTTCATTTCCTCAAAACGATTTTTCAGAGATGTGATTTTTCTGTCAACAATTCGTGTCCTTCAAAAGACTGCGTTTTGGGCGCATTTTCCGGGAAATTATGTTTTGAGGGGTTGTGCATTTCATAAGTTTTTATTTTAAATATTGCATAAGTTTTTTTGTATAACAGTGACTTGAGTATTTTATTGGTGGCAACTTCCTGTTTGTGTTTGTCTGTACACTGTTGATTATATCACTGTTGCTGTTTCAAGGCTTTATCGCATTTCATTTTTTTTGTATTTCATCAGTAATCATTTTTTACACAATTCATAATTATGGTAATTCTATTTGGTGGTTACATACTATAGTTATTGTTCTTACCATTTATATTATTGGTTATATAATTTTCTCTTTTAAACCTATTTTGATCGTGGTTGTTCCATTAATATTATCCACATTTTTATTGTATAAGTTTCTAAAAAATAATCTGTTTACTTTAATATTTATTTTTCAGTGTTACAGATGAAGCGCTAAAGATTTGAACTTTGGAACTTCAGTTGTGGCAGCGTTTGTCTTGTGCTAAGATAGACACGTTGCCTCCTTCATAAAATATTTTAAGACAGGAGAGAATGGTGTTGAAGTTCCCTCCCGAGTGCTCCCTGACAATCAACAGCAGACGTGTATTTAATATAGAGTTGTACAATATAAATCAGTGATGGCACCATCGTAACGTTCCAGAGTTCAAATCTTCCGGGTTTTACCTGTAACACGGAAAAGATAATTTAAATATACAAATATTTTGTTGAAATATAGATAGTAAGACTCTGTCAGATGAACATAGAATGCCTTGTTTTTCTTGACATTATTTCTTTCCTTACTCTTATGATAAGCAGAGCTACATATGACAATCTCCCCAGAAGCGTCATATAAATAATAAGTGGTATGATATTTATTCAATTTAATTAGTAACCCATTGAAAAGAAACCTTAGATTTGTATCTTAGGTTTGGCAATAAACGGGTGTATGACTATGTCTAAGCTGCTAGGTTAGGGGGACATTTCAATAGAAGGCTAAAATTAAAAGACATATTTGTGCCATTTAACTTGTTTTATTTATAAAACTCTCGAATATTCCTATACAAACTGACTAAAAATACCTTTGTACACACGACTCGTCCTGCCCAGCTGACCTGCGCACCAAGGCGCCTCTCGCTGACTCCTACACTGTATGACAATAAATTTGCTCTATACAATTCTCTAGTGTTGGAGGATCACTGGACCTGCAAAAATAGATGGGGTATGACATGGCATTATATGCATTATTATGCTCTCCGTACCATCCACAGTGCAAACAAATTTATACATTAATCCAAAAAAGTCATACAATAATAAATATACATAAACGATTGAAAACAGCAATTGACATTTAATACATGAAGAAAGCCGACACAATTTTGAGGCAACAGCGGCAGTAAGGGCGGGTATAAGCAGCACCGAGCAGGTAGAACTTGGTGACCACGTCCAGCCTCCTGCTAGACAAGGCAGCCGGGAACAGCGGCAACCTGCGGCCTCTGGCGGAGTAGGTATGTGCGGTCATAAAGTAGCTTTGGACCAGTGGACGCTTACTCACCTCCTGTGTGCTAATACTCACAGGGGCGGTAATTATGGTAACTGTGCGATTGAACAAACTATTACACAAGCGAGTATTCTCAAGTTAGTGTGCGGATGAACCATAGATATGTACGTAACACCAAAGGTCCTCGAGTACCGTCACCCGCCAGGTATGGCCGCAAGTTCAGCCACAGTTTCGCCAAAACGAGTACCACTGACTGTAACTAGTCAGTCCAGATGTGTCGGCCGCTCCTGCTGGGGGTAGACTCACGCCTACGTTAAGACAACAGACTGACTAATCCTGTATCACAGCTGAAGGGTCTGAATATCAGATGATAAATGTACATATTGTGACGACCTACATGGAGGCAGGGACATGCCAGGCTCTCTTGTCTACTGCAGTAAGGAGCCACCAAAATACCACTCATGTATCCTGGTACACTATACATGCCAAGTCCTGAAAGTTATTACCAAGAAATTTTAACTTTAATGACTGGTCGAGATTGCCTAAATATGACTGCTGGTATTTCAGCGACAGTGACCATGTCCCTGCTGGACCTGCTAAGAGAAGTGGGCGTCACACTTGTTCCATGAGCGTAAGACGCATGCGTGAGCCGTGATATAGCACCCACAAGTATGTACCAACAGCTTGTGTTGAGGTCACGGAGGAGACCATGGGAGGGGAGGCACACTGACGCCCACGTCCCTCTGGTCACGAACCCAAACATGTTGATGATGAACCCTGGCAGGTGTAGCTCAACACTACTCTGCTGTGGGTGGCTCAGTAGGAGACGCAGAGGGGATATAGTTCCAACTGTAAGAATAACACCCGAGTCTGTTGACGGCTGGAGGTGTTGAAGAGGCAGATCTGTGTGAGACAGTTCCTTATATTCCCATCAGCAACACTAGATTGTTATTCCTCCGGCAACAGATGCTCGTAAAATATTGTACGAACATCAATGTAACCTTTTTCTATCCAGCTGACTCTCACCATGCCGGATACGGTACAAGAATATCTGGGAGATTACTTAATATGACTTTATAAGTTATGGTTCTTCCTATGATGCCCTGTTTATATACTAAAATGAAGCTACGACAGTCACGAATGAACTCTAATTAACCTACTCGACTAGTAACTGAGAGGTAGGCTCCCAAATTCTCTGCATTAGAGAGGAATATTTCCTTGTCACACAGCAGACTGCAACTCCCACAACCTCTCCAGTTCAGCCTCAACAACCGACCGCTGGATGGTTCTTTTCAGAGATGGTTGGAACATTTCCCCGCCACGACCCATCAACTCGAACACACTAGGATACAAAACATCGAGAGCACATGGTTATTATCTTGGTGATGTACAAAAAACGGGAGGGAGTAAGCACAGGGGAACGACAGCCATTGTTTTGTCTCGCCTAAGAGATATCAAACTCCCCCCCCCCCTACCCATACACACTCCGTCACGGACAAATGAACATCGACGGCTTCACCAAAGACAAGCGACATGAAGCACCTGAAAACCGAAGTGGAAGTGTACTAACTTTACAGCCACTGACTACACACTGTAACTGCTTCCACTTCAATATAAAAAATTTCCAAAACGCTCAGAAATCAGGATGAAAGGCGAGGGGCATATTTTTTGTTTTTCAGTAAGGAAATTATGTTTTCAAACATGGAGACAGTGGTGGCCAGGCTGCTGTACTGTGGTCTACCACTTCAGTCTCCGCCAACTACACTGTTTATACACGTATTTATCCATAGTGTTTACACGTATAACATTGCTTTATAATTTTACACACAAAAAGTTTGTTTGTTTTTCTGGGAGATAAAGCTCTGAATTAAAGACCTCACTGGGGCTGCCGCAATAGTCTTTCCCTCTTGAGAGTCTTCACAAAGAAATGTCCATTGGTGAGAGGACGAGCACAGAACAGAAGGCCACTAAGTTATATGTGAGTGTTGCCACAGCGACAACAAAATATCGTATTTCAAGCACAAAGCACAGCGATGTATTTTGGACTAGCGTTCACTGTAATAAAATACATCTTATGTACAGGTCATGTGTCTTTATCTTGCGTCAACAACAATTATTCACAACTCGAAACGCCTGACATCTATGACCCCATCTGCCTACACGAGGGGTGAGGTCACAGAGGTTTGGGGGTCAAGGTTGGCGTGGTGATTGTACTGTAGGCGTGGCTTGTGCTTCTTAGGGCAAGGAGGCCTGGGAGGGCGTGCATGCAGGGACTGCGTGGGCGCGTAGGTGCTGTCATCAGTGCTGCAGAAAGAACCTCCGCGCCCCCACCTGGCTTCTCCAGCTGCCCTCAGTGCCTCTGCCCAATTAAGATCCTGAGCGTGAGAGAGAGGGTGGTCGGCCGAACAGCAGGATCCGCCCGAGGAGCAGCGGGACTCGTCCTCAGATTCAGCGTCACCTAGCGTCGAGGATTCGGGCGAGGTGCGGCCGTTGAGTAGAGGCTGAGAGTACCACTCAACGTCGCTCGCCTCCTCGGGGATGTTGAGTCCCATGGGACCGTCTTCAGTACCCAGTTCGGTCCGGTAGCGCTGTTCGTCACCCTCCAACCTTGGGTGGGGCCCACGCATATTCATCAGCCGCACCTCGTAGTCCCCAGTGCCTGTCATTCCGTGGCCGGCCAAGGGGGAGGGTGGGGCACGCAGATTGGATCGTGGGGGGCGTGGGCCCAACAAGGGGCTGCCGTGCGACCTATGTGAGCCCCCAGAAGAAGAACCACCATAAGGAAGCTGCTGAAGCAGTAGCCTGGTGGAGGGAGACTGACCACGGCTGCCGGTGGAAGCGAGAGTATTATCGCTGGACTGATCACCACCCATGATGGGCGGCGGAGGAGGAGGAGGGAACTGCAACACAGGACCCGTCAGAGAACCTGCCACAACCAGGATACACCACCATTAGTATTCATAATTATTTTATTAATAAGACATTCACTATGATAAGTATCAATATTATCAAGTAATAATAATGAGAATAAACATAAAGATACCTTTCTGCATTGTATATTATTATTGCTAGCATGATGAGAATGATAGTTGTAATCATCATACTTAACATCAATATCTCAGGCCTTGTCTATCATGGCTAAACGGTATTATGCACTTGGGCCATATCAACAGCCAAACTCAGCTAAACTTTTTGAACCTTACCTAACTTAACCTCCCTAACCTCACCTCCCATAACTTTACCTCATCTACTGTAACCTCCTTAAATATCTTTAACTATTTCAAAGGTCATTAATTAACATGAATTACTCGAATATTTTAATTGTGTACCCAGATCCTTAATCAGCATGTACTAATTACCTTTCTCTGGTTGGGTGTTGAAGTTGTGAGAGCGGTGACTGGCGTGGCTGCCGCTGTGGTCGCTGGAGGCTGTCTTAGTGCACGAGTCGTCAGAGGAAGGCTTGTTGGGCAGAGGGGACTGGCCGGGGCTGACTGGGATGTTAGGAGGCAGGCGATTACCTCCGGGCCCGCGAAAAATGTCCCTGATAAGTGGCGTGGTGGCGTAAGGCTCCGGCGACATACATCTGGGCCAGGAGAGAAAAAGGCTTTCTGATTACAAGAATACCGGCATCTGATTAAGTCAAGTATAGATCAAAAGTAGTGTTGAATTGTGCTTACTATAAGTATTATGACTGAACTTTTACACATATTCTGAATGTCAGGACAGAATGTTGCATCTATCCAGAATTCCCAGACACACAGTAAGTAACTTTAATTACCTTGGGTCGACGTGACCACCGAAGGACACGAGCCTGAGGCCGTCCGGGTCCTCGTACACATCCTCTGGTTGGCGCCCCTCGTAACCACTTTTGCTGGAGGCTGGAGCCGTTGGTCTGTGGTATAGCTGTGTGATGGGCACACCATGACTCCCTACATCTGTGTACATCGTGCCAGTCACGCCAACACCAACACCTGTCTCACCCCAGCACCCAGGGTACTCCGACCAGGGCCCGCTGCCTTCACCTGATGGAGGCACAAAGGCTAAACGTTACGTCACAGAAGGGTTCCATAACTACTTGACTCGGCTGATAGTATGTAACTTAAAACGGTCAGTTGAATGCTGAAAATAATATCACTGAAAGTAACACCTAGTAGACATAGGATGGCACAAGCGTCTCACCTTTACTGTAGTACTGTGGACACTTGTTGTTCTGGCGGCGCCTGTAGATACAATAGACGGTGGCGGCCAGAGCAGCGAAGAGCACGGCGGCGGCCACAGAGATGCCCACGATGAGGTAGGTATTGTTGTCGAAAGGCGAGGACTCCTTAATGTCTGGTGGGTAGGAGGTGGCACCCGGGGGAATGGTAAGGTTCAAGGGGGTGGAGATGGGCCCGGGACCCCTGGCCGTGACGCCCCGCAGTGTGACGCGGTACGTGGCGCCCAACACCAGCCCTGGCACCAGCGTCCATGTGCTGTTCACCGTGGTGTTCAGCACCACGTGGCTCTGGTTCACAGCATCCGATACCTACACGAGTGAGAGAAAAAATGATGTTACTGCAGGATCCACGAACATGGGAGAGGGAATATTAATGGAATAATGAAAAGCAACATCATGGTCGATCCTTTACGCAACACTTCATCTTCTACCTTCGTGACCAAATGTCGTTCTTCTTGATATCTATCATGTAACGATCTGACACTCAAGTTTTCAAATGTTAAAGTTTGGTGAAACTCACATAAACCATCTTATAGAACAGGGAACATGAACCATCCAAACCTTATGATCTTAGTTAAGTGGGTTTGGTAGACTGGGTTAGGATAGGGTTGGATTAGGTTAGGGTGGGTAAGTTGGGTTGGGTTAAGATGAGTTTCCAGTGTTCGACTTACCTGTTTTAAATGAACTTCATGATACCTTGGCCGCCATAATAGAATTAGAACTTGATGTTCGTCTTAATAATTACCAAATATAATGATACTAATCTTCATAACAACACACTAGTACTGATAAAATGAATGATCCAATTGTTCGGGTCTTCTACCTTACATCAGAGTCCAGCAGTGGGTCTTATGTTACATACCTGTAGGTTGTAGCCGGTGATGCGGCCGTTGGAAGAGTGGGCAGGGATGGGGTCCCAGGTGATGCGGACGGCGGTAGCGTTGATGTAGGAGTAATGAAGGCCCAGCGGGGGCACAGCCGGGGCCGACTCCAGAGTGGTGGCCCGAACGGCAGCGGTGGCCTGACCCTCCACTGAGCGGTAGAAGGGCACCACGAACAGCTCGTACCAGGTAGCGGGCCGCAGATTGCTCACCACGTGGGAGGTCGGCGGGGGACCGTTGCCGTGGAAGGGGACAGTTTCGACGCTGAGACCACCAGCAGGGCTGCCATGTTCAGTCTCCAGCGGCCGGTAGCGCACATAGACACCCTCTAGCAATGCCGAGTCTACTAACAGTTGCCACGACAACTGAAGTGACGCTGCAGAGGCTGGTTCTACACTGACGAGGCGGACGGCGGGCTGGGAAAGACGCGCCCTAATTTCATGAAGAGGCGGCGCGCCCCCAGCCCCCTGGGCCAGCGTCTTCACGGTGTGGGTGACGGGGGACGGGCGCGACACACCGTGGGAGTTACGGGCACGGACCACAAACATGTAGCGTGTCTCCGGGCGAAGGTCGGTAACGGTGAGGGAGACGGGCGTGGGGGTGTGGCTGGAGGTGGCCGTCTGCTGGGTGGAGGCAGTGGTCCAGGCGCCCCGCTGGTCAGGGCTCCACATTTGGACGGTGTAGCCCAGCAGAGACGACAACCCTGGCCGGCCGCGTCGCCA